AAAAATTAGCTGGGCGTGGTAGCGCACGCCTGTAGTTCCAGCTATTTGCAGAGGCTGAGGCAGAAGGATCACCAGAGCCCAGCAGGTCGAAGCTGCAGTGACCGGGAGCGTGCCACTGCACTCCATCTGGGCGACAGAGTAAGACTCCAACTCAAAAAAAAAAAAAAAAAAAAGACATCTGAAGTATGATAACATCAAGGTTGTTTGACTAAAGGGCAGGATTTACAGTAAGTATTTGCGGTTATACAATGAACAGTAAATAAATGAAATCCTAGAGGCCTTCCTGGAGCAGGGGTTAACATGGTAGATTAGCATCCAAGATGGAGTTGCTTTGGCCTTCACAGGGTAGGAAGATGTTATTAGTATAAATGTGACTATGAATGAAGCTCAGTTTTGTGTGAATGAAGAATGTAGGCTTGAGCATGAAAATAAATAAAAACCTAAGTTAGAAAATTCTAAATACTGATTTCTAACAATTAGTGAGAGAACCATACGTAGACCAGAATTTTTCAGGCCCCTCCTATAGGTGATTTAGGTATGTTATCTCATATAGTTCTCATCCTTCTACGCAGCATAAGGAAAGTGAGTCTCAGGGAGGTTAAGTAGCTTCTCTAAGTCATTGTGTTAAGAAATAGTGTTGTAGGACTTTTTTCGGGGGGGTGTTTTGTTTTACTTTTCTTAGGATAGGTAATACATATCCACATGGTTCAAAATGCAAAAGGTTCAAGAGAGTAAGCATGCAGGAAAACGCCCCTCTGAGTTCTGTCCCAGCAATCAGCTCCCCTCCCCAGAGGCAGTGTCACCAGTTTCTGTTTCCCCTTCCATTGATAGTCTGTGACTATAAAATTCAATACATATATGTATTATGTATATGTAGTTAATTTTTATTTTATTTTATTTTTTTAGTCAGGGTCTCACTAGTTGCCCAGGCTGGAAGGCACCATCATGGCTTACCCCAGCCTCGACCTTCTGGGCTCAGAAGATCCTTCTGCCTCAGCCTCCCAAGTAGCTGGGGTTACAGGCATGTGCCATCATTCCTCCAGTTAATATGTTTCCCAGGCTAGTCTCAAAATCCTGGGCTCAAGCTATCCTCCCACCTCAGCCTCGAAGAGTGCTAGGATTACAGGCATGAGCCACCACGCCCAGCCTTCTTTTTTTTTTTTTAAACACAAATAATGGCATTCTTAGATAATTCTGCACCTTGCACTTTTTCACTTAACATACCTGGGAGATTATATTATGTTAATACTTAAAGAGATTCCCCCTTTTATGGCTACATAGTATACCATTGGCTGTACAATAATTTATTTGCTCAGTTCCTTATTGCTGGACAATGTTATAATGAAAAACAATGTACATAATTTCATTTTTTATATAAGTTTTTTATATAATTGTTAGTTATCTCTTGTGAGGATAATAATTTTTGAAGAGTCACTTATATTCTGGAACCTGTCTTTCCTTTTCAGACATCCGGGAATTGATCGAAGTAGATGATGTGATGGAGGATGATTCTCTGCGGTTCGGTCCCAATGGAGGACTGGTATTTTGCATGGAGTACTTTGCCAATAATTTTGACTGGCTAGAAAGCTGTCTTGGCCACGTCGAGGATGACTATATCCTTTTCGATTGTCCAGGTGAGTCAGGGAATTGAATGTGTCGTGATAGTTGTGTCCTCATGGGAGAATGGAGTGAGCATTTGTAGCTCTAAACTGTACTGCAGTAAAGTTCCAAGATCCTATTCGTCAGCTTTAATTCTTGTGCTGAGCTTGTCTGCCGAGTGTTTGCTTTGTACACTGGGAATGCCACAGAGAGCGAGGTAGCCATGGTCTCTGCCCTCTCTGAGCTTACAGTTCAACAGAGTGAGACAGTGTAAACAGAAAGCATTCAAAGGGTTATTTAATATTTGGGATAGGTGTCCCACAGGAGTAGCACAGATCGTCACATAGCAGGGAGGTTAGGGAGGCTTCTGATCAGGTGATCTTTAAGCTGGACCCATAGGGTGAAGATGAGGGAGCAAGCGGTCCAGGCAGAGGGCAAAGCATGCTGAAGGCCTTGGAGCAGGCAGGAACAAGGCAGGTTTGAGGCACCGAAAAGGCTGGTGTGGAACATAATAAACAAAGAGGAAATGGTCGTGAGTTGAGGCTGGTAGGGGGTAGATGATGGCACATGGCGTCTTAAGCCAAATTGTGAATTTTCAACTTGAGCCGAACCTAGCATTGATCATTGGTGGCCCTCGCTTTTCCCCCTTGCTTTTAATTGAACATACACATACCCACTGAAAAGCATGTATATTGTAAGTATACAGCTTGATGAATAGTTCCAAAATGCACATACTTTTGTAGCACTCACTTTTGACTGGCAAAAGACTAAAATGTAGGCCGGGTGTGGTGGCTCATACCTGTAATTCCAGCACTTTGGGGAGGCTGAGGTGGGAGGATTGCTAGAGTACAGGAGTTAGAGACAAGCCTAGGCAACACAGTGAGACCTCCTCTCTAGAAACATTTAAAAATTAGCCGGGTGTAGTCTCAGCTACTTGGGAGGCTGAGGCAGAAGGATCGCCTGAGCCCAGGAGGTTGAGGCTACAGAGAACCATGATTGTGCCACTGTACTCCAGCCTGGGTAATAGAGTGAGACCCTGACTGGAGAGAAAGGGAGGAAGGAAGGGAAGGAGGTAGGAAAATCAAGTTAAAGAGCCTACTTTTCAAGCCGGGCTCGGTGGCTCAGCCTGTAATCCTGCGCCTTGGGAGGCTGAGGTGAGTGGATTGCCTGAGCCCGCAGGTTCAAGACCCACCTGGGCAACTTGGTGAGACCTCATCCCCACAATAAATCAAAAATTAGCCAGGCGTGGTAGCGTGCACCTGTAATTCTGGCTACTCGGAAGGCTGAGGCGGAAGGATCGCTGGAGCACATTAGGTCGAGGCTGCGGTGACTGGGAGTGGCCGCTGCACTCCAGTCTGGGTGACAGAGTAAGACTCCGACGCAAAAAAAAAAAAGAACCTACTTTTCTACATAAAAATGGATAGTTGGCTTGGAATCTCTGTGGTTGCAGTACCTTAGGTTTTATGATTGTTTCAAGCGGTTGTAGACCCCTCAAATTCATTGTATTACTATCAGGGGTTGGCTTTGTTTAACCATCTTATGGGAAAATTTGTTTACTCTTTAATTTGGTGATTTTAACATACTTCCTGTTCATGATATTCTTGTAATGTTCTTCATATAGGTCAGATTGAGTTGTATACTCACCTGCCTGTGATGAAACAGCTGGTCCAGCAGCTCGAGCAGTGGGAATTCCGAGTCTGTGGAGTTTTTCTTGTTGATTCTCAGTTCATGGTGGAATCATTTAAGGTCTGTGGATAAATTTGTTGCAGACTTTTCAATCATAGGTACAAACAGATGACAGTCTCCTTTAATTGTTGTGATTCTGGACATTTTGCAAACAATTCCAGAGTCTTTAGTATTCCTTATTATTAAAGTATTATAATGTATTTTTAACTCAAAAATAATAAATTATGATATCATAGATTTGGAGGAACTGCTTGCCAAGAAAAATTGAAAAACAAAAATCATTTTATAAGATAGCCTGCCATGTTTTTTTTTGAGTTGGAGTCTCACTCTGTCTCCCAGACTGGAGTGCGGCCACTGCAGCCTCGACCTGCTGGGCTCCAGCGATCCTTCCGCCTCAGCCTTCCGAGTAGCTGGAATTACAGGCGCACGCTACCACGCCTGGCTAATTTTTTAATTTATTGTAGAGATGAGGTCTCACCTGCCCAGGCGGGTCTCGAACCCACAGGCTCAGGCAATCCACTCACCTCAGCCTCCCAAAGGCGCAGGATTACAGGCTGAGCCACTGAACCCAGCGTAGATAGCCTGTTTTTAATTTTCTAAGGACCTTTTGACCAGTTAATGAACTATTTAAATCAAATTTTATTTCATTAATAGCACTTGAGGGCTATGAGGTAAGAAAGGAGGTTAATGATACTGCCTAAATTGAGATTTGTGGTCACTGTAGATTAAATCTATATATTTCCTCCTTATTCTCACCTTTGGAAATCAGCTGTCAAGCACCTGATTATTCAACAATGTTTTCTTTTTTTTTTTTGAGTTGGAGTCTCACTCTGTCGCCCAGACTGGAGTGCAGTGGCCGCTCCCAGCCACTGCAGCCTTGACCTGCTGGGCTCTGGCGATCCTTCCACTTCAGCCTTCCAAGTAGCCAGAATTACAGGCATGCGCTACCATGCCCAGCTGATTTTTTTTATTTATTGTAGGATGAGGTCTCGCTGCCCAGGCGGGTCTCGAACCCGTGGGCTCAGGCAATCCACTCGCTTCAGCCTCCCAAAGGCACAGGATTACAGGCTGAGCCACCGAGCCCAGCTACAATGTTTTCTTTAATATTAACATTTCTGTTTTTTAACTTCTTTTTTTTCTGAGACAGGTTTTCACTATATCTCCCCGGCTGGTCTTGAAGTCCTGGTCTCACAAGATCCTCCTACCTCAGCCTTCTGAGCAGCCGGGAACTATAGTATTGGCATGCGCCTGGCATGATACTAGCATTTTTTTTACTTAGGACATTTTGTTCCAATGAGTAGTAGAAGCCTCTCCTTATGTGGAGACCAGGTAACTTGGCAACAATTGATTCATCTTCTTGTTTCTGTTTCCTTCTTCAGTTTATATCTGGCATCTTGGCAGCCCTGAGTGCCATGATCTCTCTAGAAATTCCACAAGTTAACATCATGACGAAAATGGATCTGCTGAGTAAGAAAGCTAAAAAGGAGATTGAGAAGTGAGTTTACTCTTCTGTTATCAGATCTCAATTGTAGAAACAAACTTGTCTTACTTGGATGTGAGGTTTGGCTAGTCTATAAATCTAGTCTTCTAGATTTATTTTTCTTTTTTTCATTAGTCTTCTTTCTCTCTTTTAAAGGTTTCTAGATCCAGACATGTATTCTCTATTAGAAGATTCTACAAGTGACTTAAGGAGCAAAAAATTCAAAAAATTGACTAATGCTATATGTGGACTGGTAAGCTTTTTAAGTTTTTTGTGTTTTTTGTGCTTGTTTTTTTTTTTCTAGATGAGTGTTTGCCCACATACAGTCAGTGGCCACCTTTATAAAAAGCACAGTCCAACCCTATTTCCTGCAAAGGGGGGGAGGGGCCATGGGTCGGTCAGAAGTAGTTATTGGTGGTGGCTGATAAATTAGCTAACATTTCTATTATTTGAAGCCATTTGGAGAATTCAGAATTTTTTGTATCCTCATGAAAGCTCCAGTGGTTACTGAATTCAGATAAATACCCATGAAACAGGGTCTAAGTAATAAGCTAACAAGTATTCTAGCTAACAAGTACTCTAGTCAGAAAAATTAATAATGTTTTACTATTGTTGTGTCTGCCTATGCCTATCCTTCCCTTCCCCCAAACACACCAGTGTTTTTTTTCTTTCTTTTTTTTTTGAGTTGGAGTCTCACTCTGTCGCCCAGACTGGAGTGCAGTAGCCGCTCCCAGCCACCGCAGCCTCGACCTGCTAGGCTCCGGCGATCCTTCTGCCTCAGCCTCCCAAGTAGCTGGAACTACAGGCACGCGCTACCACGCCCAGCTTATTTTTTAATTATTGTAGAGATGAGGTCTCACCAAGTTGCCCAAGCGGGTCTTGAACTTCAAGCTCAGGCAATCCACTCACCTCAGCCTCCCAAAGCACTGGGATTACAGGCTGAGCCACCGAGCCCGGCTCACACTAGTGTTTTTAATCAGAATTACAGATGGTTATAAAACTCAAATGTAAGTTGAAAATTATTTATTTTGCATAACTTTACAATGAACCTTTCTTAAAATCCCCTACTCATAGATTGATGACTACAGCATGGTTCGATTTTTACCTTATGATCAGTCAGATGAAGAAAGTATGAACATTGTATTACAACATATCGATTTTGCCATTCAGTATGGAGAAGACTTGGAATTTAAAGAACCAAAGGTAATTTCTGATTTGAGTTGTTTGTTAGGTTTTGATGAAAATATTTGCCTGCGCTCACTGGCCTCCTGCATAATCCAGGCAACTCTTTATGTCAGTTTTTATCTTTTTTTATTTTCAATTAAATTCCGCAACCAAAGCATAACAAGAACGTAAGTTTTTTTGTCTTAAGTAGGGCTGACATGACTCTACACACAGACCTACTGAGGTTCTGTGGTTACCTGGGCTTTTCTGGGTGATCTCTGAAATTGACTCCTGTGTTCAACAAGCAGTATTGGCATTACTTTACCTTTGTTGAGGCAGTATTGAGTTAAGTCTCTTTGTTAAGTCTCAGAGCCTGGGTGTATGTGAAAAGAGGACATGAAATCCCATTGAAATTGGGCTACCTTCACATAATGTCATTGAGAAGACAGTTGTCAGTAAGGCACTATCATAGCAGATTAGCCAAGAATCACTGTGAATGTAAATTCAAATAAGAAGTGCTTCTGAAACATAAGCAAATTAATTTACTACATATCTGGAAATGGAAAAATTCTATCATTCATGCCTTTTCTTACTATTAACAACTACCGCCAGGCACAGTGGCTCATGCCTATAATCCCAATACTTTGGGAGGCCAGGGCAGGAAGGTTACTTGAGACCAGCCTGGGCAATATAGCAAGACCTCATCTCTACCAAAAATCAAAAAATCAGCTGGGCATGGTGGCACATACCTGTGGTCTGAGCTACCTGGGAGACTGAGGTGGGAGTATCACTTGAGCCCAGGAGTTTAAGGGTTGTAGTAAGCTGTGATCCTGCCACTGCCCTCCAGTCTGGGTGACAGAGTGAGACCTTGACTCAATAAATAAATAAGAAACAATTACCTATGAACAACACCTAGAGCTGGTGCTGGGTATTAGTACCTTATAGGGCATTACCTAAAAGGTATTTAATACATGCTAGTTTTGAGCGGAAGTGAATGAGTTATTTTGTTTCCTTTGTGTCAGGAACATGAAGATGAGTCTTCCTCTATGTTTGATGAATATTTTCAAGAACACCAGGATGAATGAAGAGTTTACGAAAAAGTAACTGTCTGTATGTAAAAAACGTGTGGCCAAACTGGCAGAACATCCTTCTCTTCAAAGAATGCAGCAGTAGAAAGCTACTTGTTTTAATGAAAAAAGAGCACTTGGCTCTTTATCAGCATCATGCTTGAATCAAGTTCTGAATCATTCTGAAACTGCTATTCAAAGTGGAATCTTTTATTATTATTTTAACAATGTCAACTTAGATTTTAAAAGTCAGAATTGAAATCAATACACATAAATTTGCATATAGTATAAATTAGCACCTGTGCTACAGTTAAGGCCAGTCCAGCCTTATTTTTACTGTTTGTGTTGTTTTGAGGTGCAGAAATTATTGTAACACAATATACATATGTATATCCAAAGGAAAGAATCTGAAAGGATACAGGTAAGATCATTGCTCATCTGTACTTCTCATTTTCCTACATTAAAAATGTATTATTTATATAATTAAAAATAGAAAGTAACTATATTTTGAGGTATATATGAGTGTGCATTTTTAATCTTCATAATGGGCCCAGGCTCCATTAGTCACCTGGTAATGGATATTCCTGCTGATACAAATCTTTTTTTCTTTTTTAAGAGAAAGACTATTTTATTTATTTCTTGAGTCAGGGTCTCAATGGCCTCCAGAGTGCTGGGATTACAGGCTTGAGCCATCATGTCTGGCCACAAATCTTAATTTATATAAAGAGATTTATAGAATAAATTTATAGAAAACCTGCAACTCAGCTGGGCGCGGTGGCTCACACCTATAACCCCAGGCACTTTGGGAGGCTGAGGTGAGAGCCCACAGGTTCAAGACTAAGCTGGGCAACTTGGCAAGACCTTATCTCTACAATAAATCAAAAAATTAGCCAGGTGTGGTGGCACATGCCTATAGTTCCAGCTACTTGGAAGGCTGAGGTGGAAAGATCACCTAAGCCCAGCAGGTCAAGACCGCGATGGCCATGAGCATGCCACTGCACTCCAGCCTGGGTGACAGACTGAGACTCCAACTCAAAGAAAAAGAAAAAAATCCTGCAACTCAGGTTAAATTTTTAATCATTCTTGGACCTAGATAGCAGAAGTACACCTGCAGTGTCTGATGTGCTTCCTTTTAATTAAGCAAAACATGAGGACCTATAGGTATCGGTGGTAGCTTGTGCCTGGGGCCCAGCCTGGAGGGAAGGATTGAGTATCTACACCATGGTCTGGTGGTGTGAGCTGTTCTCACGGCCAATCAGGGAACAATATGGTGAGTGGGCAACACAGGGATGTGCTGGGCTGCTTGGACACTTTCCTGTGGCCCTTTGGAAAGTGCAGAAACACCCTGATCCCCCAGTGTTGCTAATTCTTAGAAACATTGTCATATGGGAGGGTAAGAAAGAAGTGGCAACTTTTTACTTGCCCTCTTCATGGCTTCTCCCTGGTTTAGCTCTTCTGGTAGGTACCTGTGGGAAGAAGCAAAAGGCCAGATGCTACTGCCTTCCTCTGTGGACAGGGGTTTCAAAGATGAATCTGACAGTTTCAGTCCTCAGAGATCTTACTGTCTCGGGTGGGGCTGACATGACTCTACTCACAGACCTACTGAGGTTCCGTGGATGCCAGGCATGGGGACATAGAGGACAGACAAGGCCTTACCCGAGTGGGGCTGACATACTGGCCTGAGACTAGTCATGAGGAAGGAAGTTTCTGATAAGGGATGGGAAAGAAAGAAAAGCAACGGGGAGTGACTAAGGACCTCTTTGTAAAAGAAGTTCCGAAAAAGTGCAATTTGACCAGAGACCCAAAAGAGATGTGGGAACGCAGCAGAGTATTCCAGGTGAGGAACTGGGAGAAGGCGGCTCCAAATTAGCAATGAACTTGGCTTTTAACAGGAGGATCTTCCTAGTGACAGCCTAACAACTCCTGAGCTGTCGGTATGCTCCAAGCATGTAAGTTCTAAGCACTTTACATGTAATTCATTTCATCCTCACAAAACTAGGAGGTAAATACTGTTAGCTCCATTTTTCAGGAGAGGAACTGAGGCACTGAGAGGTTATTTCACTTGCTCAAAATTAGCACAGCTAGTATATACTGGAGCTGGGATTCAAATCCAGAGTCCACTTTCTCAACTATCACACAAAGAGTTGCAGCACACAGTAATGTCCGAATTTCTTTCGCGCTCCTCATTCGTTCATTCGCGCAAGTATTTATGGCTGCTTCCTATGTACCATCAGCGTGACAGGCGCGGGGATACAGCAAGGAACAAAACGGGCGGAATCTGTGCGTTTTTGACTTTTACGTGGACGGGGAGATGGGAGACAAAACACAAAAGTAAACTAAATGAGAGAATTATAAGAACTAAGGAAAGAAGAATAAGGCAGGGGGCTGGAGTAAGGTTACATTTAAATTGGTATGACCAGGGAATGCTTCACTAGAAAGGTGATTTGGGGAGGAGGGGGAAAAAAGGGTGGATGATCACTGACATTCCGCAACCCAAGACCCATCTCCACTGCGCGCGCGCCTTACGCATGCGCGACACTCAGCGGACCTGCCTGGTGCTCGAGCGCCCCCTGGCGCCCCTTCAGATCCGCGCAGCCGCAGCAGCACGCGGCGGGGTGAGGAGGCCGGAAGCGCTGCGCCCTCCCCTTCCGGCTCACTTCTGCCTACTCCGCCCAGGCCGCCAGACCGGAAGCGTCGCCCTCTAACTCGAACCTGCTCCTCTGGGTCGAAACCCGGGCGCTGCCAAGATGCCGGTGAGGGTTCGAGCCAGGGTCTGGGAAGACGGCGGGGACTGGGCAAAGGAGGCGGGAGCCTACTAGAGGAAGAGGCGAAGGGGCCGGTCGCGGTGGGATTAGGGCGGCCCAGGGGTGTCAGCTACGCGGGGACGGGGGCGCGAGAGAGTGGGGAGAGTCCCGGGGTGTGTGGAGGCCTCCCGAGCCTCTCCGTCCTCACTTTTCCAATTCCAGCCCCCTCCTCTCGCCCCTTACCTGCCCCCGAGTCCGGCAAGGATCCCAAAGCCTCACTAGAGCTGAGAGGCCAAGGGCTGCGCTTTCCATGTTCCGAGCCTAGAGTCCAGCTTCCGCTTTTTCTGTTGGGCCCACTTCCTCCTCCGCCCCGGGGGCGGGTCCCCCACCCCCAGCTCTTTGTCATCTGCACGCTCAGTTCTTTGTCATCCGTCGGAACCCACTCCCCGACTTCTCGTGTCGCCCCGCCGTGGCGGCCACCCACCGAGCCAGCTGTGTGTAGGGCCTTCAGGGCAGACTCAGCATCGGTGCCAGGTTTCCAGATGCTTCCGTTTCCGTGGGCATCTTTGAGAGTAAACGTTGGTGACAGTCTGGTTGTCCCTAATTTCTGGCATCCAGTGTGTAGGGTGGATTTATCACCGTCGGGGTCTCCATTTTGCAAATTAGAAAAAAGGTGGTTCAGTAACGTGCGATTGATTATTCATACATGACTGTGTGTGTGTGTAAAGTCTCACTCTGTTACCCGATTGATTATTCATACATGACTGTGTGTGTGTGTGTGTTGTGTGTAAAGTCTCACTCTGTTACCCAGGCTGGAGGACAGCGACACGCTCACGGCCACCGCAGCCTCGACCTGCTGGGCTCAGGCAATCCTTCTGCCTCAGCATCCCAAGTAGCTGGAACTACAGGCACGTGCCACCACGCCCAGCTCATTTTTATTTATTGTAGAGAGGAGGCCTCAACAAGTTGCCTGGGCAGTCCTCTCACTTCCGCCTCCTAGAGTGCTGGGATTATGGGCATGAGTCACTGTGTCCAGCTTCATACATTGTTTTCAACAAACATTGCTGAGCACCTACTGCCTGTCCAGCAGTGTGATAGCCCTGGATAAGGCCTATAAATCCCTGCTCTTAAGGAGCATATGTTCAAGGCAGGAGACAAGACAATCTACCTGTAAACATAAATAAAGGGGATAAAGTAGTTTCAGGGAGTGACAAACTCCATGAAGGAAACAGATGGATAACAAGACAGTGACTGGTTAAGGGAGAGTGGAGGCTGCTTTAGATAAAGCATTACCTGTGATGAAAAAGAGCAAGCCATAGTTACCTGTTTTGTAAATCCTGTAGTTATCATTTGACTCCTGAGTGCCAAGCAGGCCTTCAGCTACACACTTTGTAAATTTTCCCATTTAATCACAGACCCTTTGAAATAGATACTGTTCTTGTTCCTATTTTGCAGAAAACTGAGGCTCAGAAGTTAAGAAACTTGCTCAGAGCCGGGCTCGGTGGATCAGCCGATAATCCCAGCACTTTGGGAGGCCGAGGCAAGTGGATTGCCTGAGCCCACAGGTTTGAGAACAGCCTGGGCAACTTGGCGAAACCTTGTCTCTATAATAAATTTTAAAAATATTAGCCAGGTGTGGTAGCACACGCCTGTAGTTCCAGCTTAAGAAAGAAAGAAAGAAACTTGCTCAGGGTTGCGTACTGATAGTATAGGCTATTTTTTTTTTTAATTGGAGTCTCAGTCCGTTGCCCAGGCTGAGTGAGTGCAGTGACACTCACAGCCACCACAGCCTTGACCTGCTGGGCTCAGGCGATCCTTTCACCTCAGCCTTACAAGTAGCCAGAACTACAGACACACATCACCACACCCAGCTAATTTATTTATTGTAGAGATGAGGTCTCGCCAAGTTGCCGAGGCTGGTCTTGAACCTGTGGACTCAGGCAGTCCTTTCACCTTGGCCTCCCAAAATGCTGGAATTGTAGGCAGGAGTCACCATGCTGGGGCCAGTAAAGGCACATTTTAAGACAGCACTCTAAAGTCCTGGCTCATTCAAGTTGCACGTAACGCGCCCTGGGCTTTCTCTGTGATTACCTATTCTACGTCCTCCTCCTCCTTTGGCCTGAATGTTTTTCTTTTTTTTTCTTTGAGTTGGAATCTCACTCTGTCACCCAGACTGGAGTGCAGTGGCCGCTCCGGCCACCGCAGCCTCGACCTGCTGGGCTCCAGCAATCCTTCCACCCCAGCCTTACAAGTAGCTGGAACTACAGGAGTGCGCTACTACACCCGGCTATTTTTTTGTTTTTTTTTAATTGTAGAGATGAGGTCTCGCCAAGTTGCCCAAGCGGATCTCAAACCCGCAGGCTCAGGCAGTGCACTCACCTCAGCCTCCCAAAGGCGCGGGATTACATGCTGAGCCACCGAGCCCGGCACTGGCCTGAATGTTGTTCGGTACAAGAGCCGTACTGATCTGTATATCACTGTATCATGGTATCTTGACGGAGAAGGTGCTTAGCAATCATTAGGTAAATGAGTAAATATATAAATGGGGTTCATCTATAAGACATAAAAAAATACATATCTCATAGAAACTAGAACTAGGAATCAGCATACAAATGGGCTCATAAATGTGATTTTACTCCCTTTCCTTTAACTCACACCTGAAAGCAGTATATAGCTCCTCATTTTACATATGTGGAAACAGACTAAGAAAAGAAAAGTGGGCCAGGCTCGGTGGCTCAGCCTGTAATCCCAGCACTTTGGG